TTAAACGCGTCAAATCAAAAGTTACGTACTTGACAAAAAAAGTCATTTTGCTACTGTTAGATGATATAATACCTTTCATTTCATATCTCATACATCATCATGTGAAGGTCTCCTCTTAGATTGAAAGTGAACCATCACTATTAGGATGTGTATTGATCGGTATTTCTAACTATGTTGGTGATACTTTTTCTTATGGAACTGGAAAATAGGGTTTAGCCCTTGTGTGAATTTGCATTTATTATTTAATTTTTGGATCGTTTTTCATGATGAAGGCATATTAAATACTTTGTTTTTAGGACCATTCTTGATGTACACAAAATGTGTACATTCTGTGTACACAGGCAATTTGGCATCAACTCCTGCTTCTGTTTTAATGAATTGTCTGTGTACACAGGCAACTAGGGGGGTTTTGTGTACAACTTGTGTACAACTAATGTCCACTAAGCATTTTCCTTATTTTTAAGTTGACACAAATGTAAACATATCAAATACTAAAAGTAATCAAATCAAATCAAATCAACATATAATACACATAATTTTGTTGAAAAAATCATTGGGCATTTTATTTAATCGCGCAACGCGCGGATAAAAAACTAGTATTCCTTATAAGTTTCAATATGCATTGATGTCATCTAACTAGCAAGTGAACATACAGAACTATTTTAAGCTCAACTGTCATGCATCTACTTTTTTTTATCATCAAACAGCAACCATTACAAGACAATCTTCAAACAAGATTTCCAGATCCAATCTTGAACCCTAGGAGTAGACTTAGAATCAGCCACCTCATACAAAGCAACATGACTTGCTAAACCTGAAACGGACAAATTTAGGCCTAAAATGATCGGATTCGAAACCCTGCCTATCAAAAAACTCCAAAAATCCGAACATTCAAACCAAATCTACTCAGACTAAAACGGGAACAAGTGCTATAAAAGAGAAAATAATATTGAAATAAAATATTGTTAGAAAGCTCTTCCTGGTATGGAGGTGGTTCCGGAGGAGGACGAACTCTTGCAATATGGGTGAATACCAACTCCACCTGCGGAATGACCGACCAAGGCTTCACGATCCAGTCTCGATTCAACCTCTCAGCCGCACCTCGTTCATCCGCCAACATTATCTTCTTAGACGTAGTTGCAATCCCAAACGTTAGAACAATTAAACTCAGTATAATCTGCCGCTCCAACCCCATATTGATAGGGGCGGCGGAAAATCTCAACCCCTACAAAGAAGGGAGACGGCTGCTAGGGTTCCTCTCTCTACAGAGATGAGAGAGCATAGATTAGACTCAATTGTCATGCATCTACTTACTCGAGTAATTAGGATTGATAAATATTTTCATCAAAGACGGATTCAGGATTTTGTGTTAAGCGGAGTGAAACTTTATTCACTAGCGTAATGGGATAATAGTTTTTGTTAGGATTGTGGGAAGAATATTTTTTTACTAGTGTAAGGCTCTGCGTGCGGCTATTTTTATTTTAAAAAAAATCCATCAGTACATACACGTCAATTAAATCTATTACTTTCTAAGTTTACACAAATGGAAAAACTAAGTTTAATTTTATAATTGAAGTTCTTTAGAAAAAAGTATTGGTACATTAGAGCTTAAGAAAAGACAAATCAAAGAAAAAAATATTTGAAAATAAAAACGGATATAGGCTATTTTATCAAATTATTTGAGGATAAAGAGTTTAAAAGGTACACATCCATCGATACTATTTAAATAACTTATGCCTTGTTGAACCGCATAAATCATATCAGAATAACATATTGGTTTTTGAGTTACACTTTTTGTCAATCAAAGGGTGTTCATTAGTCACGAGAAGTTTTCTTAATATTACAATAGTATGCAAGAAATGAGAGTATTTACTTTTCAAATAATATATATTATGTTGCTAATTCATATAGATGGTGCAAATTATATTTGTATTAATGCTAAAATAGGTTAAAGTTGATTACATATGCAATAGTTTTCTTATAAAATAAGAAGTAATTTAATTGTCTAATTTAATGTCACACAAAAAATTGATTCATTTTACATTATCCAAAAACTTTTTAACTAGTTTGTCTGGTATTTAATATTGTTTTATTATTTTATTATTTTACAAAATCAAGTGCTAATTATTAACTAATAAAGATAATTAAACATTACATAGCTATGAATTTTTATATAATAAGTATCCTAAGGCTCAAACCAATGAGTTGTTCTATTCACTTTTTAGAATATTTTCAATTGGACTGATTTGATCTGGTTTGATCTAGTTTGTTTAAAAATTATTAAGACTTGGGGTTTCATCCTAAAAGGTAAACTTGATAGGAGGAGTATAGTAGCCCATGTGTTAATATAGCATTTTGTTCATCCAAACTTTTCCGGTGTGGGACATTTAACACCCCTCCTCACGACCAGACACTTCGTCTGGATCGTGCCATCATTCATTTTTTTTCATCGGTCCGTTTTTTTCATTCGGCCGTTCATCCAAACTTTTCCGGTGTGGGACATTTAACACCCCTCCTCATGACCAGACACTTCTTCTGGATCGTGTCATCATTCATTTTTTTCATCAGTCCGTTTTTTTCATTCGGCCGTTTTATAATCGTGTCATTATTTTTCATATAAGAGCCGGGCCCATACCAAGGATCGATTTGGCTATGATACCATGTAAGACTTGAGGTTCCATTCTAAAAGGTTAACCTGATTGTAGGAGTAAGTTACGACCGAAATAGACCGGTACGGTATGATACCGTACCGAAAATGACGATATACCAATATTTCGGTATTTTCCGGTACGGTAAGTGCGGTATACCGATATTTCGGTATTTTTGCCCACCCCTAGGAGTAACACATGTGTTAATATAGCACTTTGTTCATCCAAATTTTTGCGATGTGGGACATTTAACAAATATGATCTGATCCGATAAATAAATATTTGGTCAATGTGTAGTTTATAACAACAGAAATCTAGTCTAATCTGATTTATTTAAATCTGGTCTGGTCTGATAGTGAAATAAGTCCAATCTTACTCCCGCCTACTAGGTAAAAAGATTGGATAATATACGAGTAAAACTAGGTCGTATAGCGTATTGTTAATATGATTTCTTACTGAGCTGGTTTTATGACGATATGTTTATAGTAAAAGCATGAAATATGCCATTATACTGTCTTTCATAATTTTGAAAACATTACATTATTTCAATTAATTTTTTGAAATTTATCTTTCATTCTATCACACTTGTTGGGTTAATGGCCCAATTAGAGGATTGACCCATATACCCCCTTGGTGGACGGACATCAAGCCTAACAAGAGCAACAGACAGGGACGAACGTGTCCACGAACGTAGCAGTTACACCTCCAAGCCCAAGGCACATACGACGAACGTCACCACACCTTGCCCAGAGCCGTAGGAGATAAAGCCCAAGGCTAGCCAGCCTAGCCCACACACTTTTACACAAGGGCCAGAAGACGTACGGCCCGCAACCCCAAGGGCAAATCCCAAGTTCAAGAGGACGCTCGTCTCCATGAATGGGCGGGAATCAGAGATCTTGACGGAAAGCGCATTTAATGCTGAAGATTTGATGGTTGAGGCTTCAGCCATCCGTAGCCCTCCACATCAGCATGTCTACTTGCCCCTTGGTAGTATAAATAGTAGCATTTATTTCATTGTAAAGGGTTGACAACTTACCCGCCTTAGCTTACTAGCATTCAGATAGCTCCTAGCTTATTATTCGCAACTCTTCTACCTGAGCGTGAGACGAACGACCATTGGAGTTATTAGATCTTAATAATACTCGGCCCACTATTGCATACATTTCTTGGCACATCTTACTTGCTAGAATCTCATAGTCACACACATTTCTATTCAAAATCTTTGGACTTACGTGTTGGACCTACGAGTTGAAGGAATAAACCTCAACAACACTATTGTCCGGTCTTTCCACCCAAATGGGCCTACAAGTGCTTGAAATAACTCTTGCCATATTTGTAGTATCTGAGAAGGACAAGTGATACTCGTATAACTAATAAAGTGGAGCCAATCATCATAAATGGAGTAAAAAACGAAAAAGTTGTCATATACTTTATTCATGACTCATACTTACTCTATATGAGTCGAATAGTTTTTCAAAAGTATTGATGTACCGAATGGTATCATTGAATGTGTTACAGTACGTGTCAGTTGTCACATTACAATATTGTTAATTAGATAACTCCAAGAAAAGAAATAATATATTGTGGATTAGAATAACACTCCATATGTTACAATCGAGCGCAAAATAAATTAATCATATAGGAATTGCCGGAATGGGAGTAGAAACCATATGAAATTTCAACATATAAATAATTCAGTATTATTTAATCTCCCAAATAGAAGTAATTAGTACTCTGCATATATATATATCATGATTCATCATAAAACCATCTGATCTATTATATACATGGTATAATTTTAGAGTTGTCATAATAATTTTAGTTAAAAAAATATTTGATAATATCAAAGCATAACATGATTCTTTGTAGTGTCTTTGTAAAGTTATTATAGCATTTGCACCTGATACAAAAAATTATGATTATTTTATATAACAACAATTTATATTCCTACATAAGAGGGAAATATGTCGCTCCCATTCTGAAATTTCATACGGAGTATTATTTTAATTCTATTTTTTGGAAACCCCTGTTAATTGTACTATTGAAAATTTGCTTAATAATACTTCATCGTTCTAGCTATAAACCTTGGTCATATTGATTTTTTTAAGCAATGATGGGTCAAGTTTGACCAATAACATTTTTAGAATGATATTACCTAAAATATAAAAATTATATGAAATCGTTCTTTTATAAAACTACTTTAAATAACGTTTAAAGTTTATAATCACTTTAAAATCGTTGTCCAAAGTTTATCATAAGTGTCCACAAAATTTAAATTGATCAAGTTTTAGAGGCAGCCCACCCATACACTATAAATACTAGCTATGCTGCCAATGCTGGAGCATAATCATTTAAAGATTACGTGCTCCTTCTACATATACTTTTCCATTTAACTCCAAGACATGGCTATTCTGGATCATCACCACCCATGGCTCTTTGTGTTTGGAGTCTTAGGTAAGTTTTTCAATTTTCAACTAATTCAAGTCTTTTTCCTTCCTTAATTAAATGTTGAAAAAACCTCCAGATGTTATTGATGTGTGAGTACACGATTGGCAAACCAGCTTGCATACAGATTATATACGTACATCATTAGAACATTAATTTTTTGTTACAATAAAAATCAGTTTTAATTTATTAATTTGTTACACTAGGGCCGGGAATGGTGAAGATATTTTGATATTTCCACCAAAATTGGTGTTTTTGGTCTCTTGTATCATGAGTATGAGAAGTAATGAAATTTTTCTGGCATCTCGAGATAAGTTGAACGATAAAAAAAAGTAAGCAATACCAAATCGTTTTTTTTGGAAGACCAAAACGTTTTGATGACTTGTGGGAAGTACCATCAGAATATATCTTTCAAAAAAAAAGCTAATACTCGAAATAAGCTGACTTTACTACAAACAAAAAGCTACTAAGTATTTTTTTTATACTTCGTATAAGTTTTTACTCAAGAAAGTACTAAAGGTAGTTATTTCTTCCCGGTATACTGGAAATTATTCATATTGGTATGCAAAATTCGCCGACTTTTCCCACAAATTAAGAGTGTACAAATTTAAGTACCATTACTATCATAATTCATAAACTGATAAATTTAACCTTGCAATATGTCTAATTATATGTTGATGAACTTATTAATTTAAAGGCTATGTATGCGAGTCGTAGTATATTGAGTGTGACTAACTGTTTGACAAGCAAATGAGAATACAACGACTAACACGTTTTTTTGTGTATTTAATGTTTCAGGAAACATCATATCCCTCTTAGTATTTCTCGCACCACTGTAAGAATATATTACTTGTTAATTTTGCATCGTTGGTAACAATATCTAATACGATAGTAATAAAAAATATTTAAAGAGCCCCATAACATTCTTTATGTGTTATTGTGTTATATATATGGGTTAAGGTCATCACAATTGTTTAATTTCTTTCTAGATTACTGCGGATGTTTTTAGGCTGAAATTTGTTGGTCTGGTTTGATCTGATCTGTTTAAGTTTGGTCTGGTCTGATATGGTAAACATCCGGTCTCTGTGTATTTTATAACTAAAAAACTCAAGTTTGATCTATTTATGTCTGGTCCAATCTGATCTGATTTGTTTAAGTTTGGTCTGGTTTGAAACTGAAAACATACTAAAAACATATGGGGCTACATAAAAGCATTCATTTTAGAAGACTATTATTTTTCACTATAACTATTATTACTTGACTATTAATTAATGGGTATATAATGATGGTGAAGGTCAACATTCATCCGAATATGGAAAGCGAAATCAACGATGGGGTTTCATTCGGTGCCATATATTGTAGCACTTTTTTCCTCCATGCTTTGGATATACTATGCTTATATCAAGAAGAATGCAATCCTTCTCATCTCCATCAATTCTTTGGGAATTCTCATTGAGACCATTTATGTCCTCCTTTTCCTTATCTTCGCCTCAAAGAAAGCCAGGGTAATTAAGCAACTTCCTAAAATATATTCCTCTATTGAATTTTCAAATTAAAGTTTGTAATATATGAAATATTTTTTAGTAATTTGTACAAGTAATTGTTTGATTTTCTTATCATGTGTTTAATAATAATGTGTGGATGCAGCGGCATACGTTGACGGAGTTGTTCGTGTCCATCGGAGGGTTCGCCTTGATTTTTGTGGTCTCGTGGTTTTCGTTCTCCGGCGAAGTTCGGATTAGCTTGGTTGGCTGGATTTGTGTTTCCGTTTCTACGGCGGTTTTTGCTGCACCCCTTAGCGTTGTGGTAAGAGTGATGCTAGCTTAATGTATAAGGTCTACGGTTTACCAAACATTCCAAGATACTCAAAATTTAGAGTAAAAGCAGTATTAAATTTGAAAATAGTACGGAGTATTACTATATTTACACTAAATAATACGGAGTACGTAGTAATAACTATAATCATGTTAATTATACTTTCAATAGTGCCTACTACTAATGTCTTGTACTTTTGCCACGTTACTCCTTTTTTTTTTTTGCACAATGCCACGTTACTCCTATTTCTACAAAAAAAACATGTACTATAGTCTATAGGTATTACTCATATATTTGAGCTGTACATTGTTTTTATTCATATTTAGAACATTATTTGTCTTTTTAAATGACTTAAAAAAGGTAACACATCCTCATAACGGACTTGTTTTATTTTTAAATCTATGCAGTTTCAAGTAATTCGAACCAAGAGTGTAGAATTCTTGCCTTTCTACTTGTCTTTCTTCCTCACGACGAGTGCAATTATGTGGTTCGGTTATGGTGTAATGATGAAGGACTTGCGCATTGCGGTAAGCAGCTCTCTTTTGTAATTCTCCTTAATTCATTCAATTTGTTAGATTAGTCGCATAACAAAAATACCCAAGTTGTAATTCTTAGGTCATTTGTAACAGCTAATCAAGTTCACTAGGAAAAATCTCGTGGGGAATTACAAGTTTCTTTTATTTATACAAGAACAACAATAGCATTAACTCAGTACAACAAAGTCCCCACCTACCGTGGGGTAAGGAGAGATCGAATGTATACAATCTTGCCCGTGTACTGAAGTATAGAAATATTGTTTCTGAATGATCCATGATAAAAACCACGACTAAAATTGCATGGTTTAACTGTTGTTTCATAACAAATAAACACAGACAACTTAGTAAGTCATATACGTAGTATTTTTCTTTATTCCATCATATAACTAAGCCAGAAAACCATGAATCATTGGTTCAATTGGAAATGATAGAAATATCGAAGCTTGAATAGCAACTTTAAACTTTGGGTATGACCTTCCACATGTCCACTAACGTGAGTGTTTTAATTTTTTCTTCTTCAATTATGAAGTTGCCAAATATTTTGGGATTCTTCTTGGGATTGCTCCAAATTTTGTTGTACCTGGTGTACCGAAAAGCAAAGCCTGCTATAGTCATCGAGGAGGAGGAGCCCAAAAAAATGTCGCAAGACCACGTGGTGGTGGGCATTGAATTGCAACAAGACACAACGTCTAGTCAGACAATTCACCCTGTGGATTCAGACACGTGTTCCAATAGCAGTGTTACAAGCAAGTGAGAGAGAGAGCATGTGAAAAAACAAACAAACAAACACGGTTTTTTGGGAAGGCTTCTCATAAGCCGCTGCTATTCTGACACTTGGCAGCAAATAAATGGACGATAGGTTCGGGTCCGGATCCAGATTAGAAGAGATGCTCAGATGTATGTGTAGCGTTTCTGTTAGAATTATGTATGGTTTCATACCTTAATTATGTTCTGAAATACCAGTTTTTTATTAATTGTAGAACCCGACATCTGGATCGGTTGTAGTAATAAGTACCGGATAGTACGATGTGAGAGATAATCACGGGTAACTCGAAAGGGAATATTATTGATCTCCCTTCAAGTTTAGCCCACATATTGAAAATATGTCTTTTTTAATACTGTTTTGGTGTCTTGTTAGTTGTGGAACTCTTTCTGCATTGTAATTTACTAATTTTTACTTTGAACACTCTTAGTTCTTACATGAAATAAGATTATTTATCTATAGTGATGATGTGTAAATTAATGGTTAACAAAACGTAGATATGCTCCTATGTGATTCATGTGAACACTGAACCATGAACCAACCAAATTTAAAGTAGTTGTAGTAGTTTAATTTCTTAAGTCATCACCTAACATATGCGTCAAATTGGACATTATTAGAATGACTTACGTTTAATTTAACTCCAAAAGATAAAAGATACTCCGTACGAAGTAATAGAATTACTTGGGCGGCCTCTTTCAAGTCAATGACGTATCACTTTTATTAAAATGCTTAATAATAAAGAGTATTGAACGTGAAGAGAACAAGTCGAAGAGCATTCTGTATGCTATATGTCTCATACATCATACGATTGATCTAGTGTCGATATATATGCTTGTGCAGTTGTGCATAAAAAAAAGAAGGAAAGAAAATATCACAATAAAAGGAATGATGTACTGCCATAATGGACACCTGGGGTATGGCAAGTCACTGGCTCCTAGATATGGGAAGTAATAAAAGGTGTATATGGAATAATATATGGAATAATATATTACGTATGGAATAATATATTCCAATACTCCCCTCAAGCTGGAGTGTGGATGTCTCTAACACCAAGCTTGCCACGAAGAGATGAGAAGCGTTCCGAGCCCAGCGCTTTGGTAAATATATCAGCAACCTGTTGTTGAGTAGCTATGGAATGAGGTTAAATTTCACCGCTAGTGACACGTTCACAGACGAAATAGCAATCCATCTCAACAAGCTTTGTACGTTCATGATAGACAGGATTAGTAGCAATCTGACGAGCTGCTTGGTTGTCACAAAATAATGGGGTTGGTGTGTTTAAGTGCACTCCAAAATCTCGAAGAGGCCAACGTAACCATCTCTAACCGCGACCGCCATTGAGCGATATTCTGCCTCCAGGGGCGGATGCATTATATGTTTAATGGGGGCACATGCCCCCAATGACTTCCCTCTTTTTAGTGTATATTAGATACTAATATTTGTTTATATGGAGTATAAATGAACTGGTGCCCCCAATGGAAATAATGAATGTCCCCATTAAGATACTATCTTCAAATAATGAGATGTGTAAGTGGGACGGTCAACACTCTTTGTTACCTTTCAATTTGTAATGTTTTTGTAATCTAACCTCTAAAATTTGTATTTTAGAAGACTCGATATAGATTAAGTATTGTAAATTATGTGTGATTGTGTGAATATGCATTATGTGTTTTTTAAATTAGTTATTTGCCATTATATTGTGTGAATTAGATTTTTAAAGTTTCATTTTTAGAATTTCCTTTTAATTTAACTTTGTGTGTTTCGATTGAGTTCCGTAACATTTATTGACACGTTAGTTGTGTGAATTTGAGTTTTGCTTTATGAGAACTTTCTATTACTTTATTTTGTTGAATGTAAACTTAGGACAAGAGGAAGTAGCCTGGTGCGATTATTAGAAAAAATAATAGAATTATATGATTGATATTGATTTGATAAAATGTTAATAAAATAATAATAAATTGAAACTAACTAAATATTACTTGTATCAAATATGATATAAGACAAACATAGTCAGGCATATCAAAAAGTTAAAATGGGAAAAATATGGGTGACGAATGAGGTAATTTTTAAAATTATTAATTCTTCCTAATGAACGACTAAAAATATTGATTTCGTTAGTTGCAAAAACTATATTAGGAAGAAACTATGAAACAATGTGAAATTAGCAACTAGTTTTGAATGATTATCTCATACTACCGCCGTTCTCTTTTAATTGTAACATTGGACTTTTTACACTATTCACATATTCTACTTTGACTATATTTTATTATTTAATGTATCATAAATTAAAACTTTAAAAAATATTATTAAATTCTTCTAATTCTGATTTTTTAAATTTAATTTTTTACTAATAAGGAATGAAAGATATTAATGGTCAAACTTGTGCGTTGGTAAACGTGAAATGTTGATTGTTGTAATTAAAAGAGAACGGATGAAGTATGTTATGTCGAAAAAGATATACTTCATACATTTGCTAATGAAGTTGTGATGGATTGTTATCAAAAACACAAAACTCAGTACAAAACCATTATTAATAAAATTCAATATTTTCTATTTTGTTAATACCAGATTATTTTATTTTTGAAGTTAATTTGTATTTCTTTATCCAAAATTTTCCAAATTTTTCTTTCTTGGTGCCCCCAATAGTTAAAATTTCTAGATCCGCCCATGTCTGCCTCCGCGGACGATCGTGAGACCACTGTTTGTTTCTTCATTCTCCAAGAAATGGGGGCTCATCCTAAGGTGATGAAATATCCTGAGCTCGAACGTCGTGTAAAAACACATCCAGCCCAGTCGGCATTGCAATATCCTTCCAATTTAAAATGATTGTTGGAAGGTAAAACTAAACCAAGATCGGGCGTGCCTTTCAAGTAGCGTAACACCCTGTAAGCTGCATCCCTGTGCGTTTGCCAAGGGCGAGAGAGGAACTGACTTAAATAATTGACAGGGAACACGATATCAGGACGTGTGACCGTGAGGTAGAGTAGGCGTCCAACCAGTCTTCGGTATCTCCCATTATCAACGACGGGACTATTGTCATCCGGTCATAATTTCAGATTTTGCTCCATAGGAAAAGTACTCAGCCGGCTTCCTTGCATTCCACTTTCTTCGAGTATGTCTAAGACATCTTCGCGTTGACTCAAGATGAAACCAGCAGGTGACCGGGCCACCTCAATTCCCAAGAAGTATTTGAGTGCACCGAGGTCCTTGATGGTGAATTGCTCATCAAGGTGGCGTTTGATTTTAGTAATGTGCTCAATGTTGTTTCCACCCAATAAGACATCGTCTCGTCAACATATATAAGTGCGGTAGTGTACACATCCTTTCGACGATAGATGAAAAGAGAGTGATCTGCCCTGGATTGTTGAAACCCAATGTAAAAATAGCTAAAATGGTCATCTACAGTAACTTCAGCCAATATAGTCAGAAAAGTAACTTCAACCTTACTTTTTCTGCTTATTACACACTTCAACGCGCGACAGTAAAAGTTACGTGTTTAGTGAAAAGTTGGCAGATAAGTCTGATAAGCTGAAAAAGAGTGTTGTCAAACGGGCTCCACATGTGGTATCATTGCAATCATTCATTAAAGAAATAGGGCTCTCCACCTAATTCCATCATAGAAATGAATGGTTATGATGATGTTACAGGTAATATATGATTCCATAGGGGTGTCCTGTAGGAGTGTAGGATTCCATAAAATGTTTGAAAAAAATATAGAAGAAAGCAATAAAGAACAATTAAATTGCCTCATATATAAATTCAAATACGTAAAGACTACCTATCCATCTATTACTGGTTGTTTTGGACTCAATTTAGTGTCATTTACTAATTGCATCAGAGGTCAGGATTCAGGAACTTTCTCAAGAAGTCCATATGGCTTCAGTCAGAAAGAGCAATACAAATAAAATAGAGTATGGGAATTTGAAATACTTGATGTCTACTAGATGAATCTGCTTAACGAGATTAGTGACGCTTTAAATTGCACTCACTACAGAATTTCACACAAAGACTAAAGGCCTCTCAATGTTCTATTTCTAGAATCGCACAAATGTTCATTTTGTTAAACTTAAATGGGAAAACTGTCAAATAGGTCTTTGTACTTTTACGAAAAAGTCAATTGAGTCTCCGTACTTTAAATTGAATCAATTAAGTCCCTTAAGTGTTAAAAATTGATCAAATAAGCTATTTTGTAGGTGACTAGGCGGTGATCCGGTTACCCACCTACGTGGCTGATCGATTGTACTGTTTTATATTTTCCATAACTTTTCTTTTCGTTTTTTTCTCTTTCTTGCTTTTTTTTTGTTTCTTCTTCCCCCATGGAGTTGGACTCCTCTCCCTGCAAGTCCGCCGCTCCACACCCATTTATTTTGACTTTCCACTTTCCATGAAGAGCGTTGGCAGTTTCCTGGGCCCTAACAAACACATCCCTCCAAAGATTTCGATCTCCACCATTCCAATAGATCTCTGCGAAGTTAAATTGTCACAAAATGGACTAAATTGCTCCATTTTGGAATCATCAAGAACTTTAGCTAGTAAGTTTCTTCTCTTTAACCTTCTCTTGCCGGTGCAGTCGTTGATTCCCCTCGTCGGCCGTTCAGCTTGTCGGAGGAGCGCCTTAGGTTTTTTTGTCTCAGATTTTAATACTGCGTACTCGACGACAAGAGATTTGCTAACCTTGTTTGCCAAGTCGCTGACCGGCTAGGATTTACGAGAATCTGTTGCACTGTGTTGGCCGCCATACGAGGCCTCATGAAAAGAGTCGAGCAGTTTAGGGAGAAAGAAAAGAAGAAAGAGAAAAGGAAAGAGGAGAAGAAAATTTTAAAATAGTAGGAAACAGTAAAAAAAGGACCAGTGGACATCCACATAAGCAGCAGTAACCGGGTTACCGGCTGGTGACTTATGAAATAGCTTAATTGGTTATATTTTAATACTTCGGGGACTTAATTGATTCAATTTGAAATACGAGGACCTAATTGACTTTTTCATAAAAGTACAGGGACCTATTTGACAGTTTTCCCAACTTAAATGTTGATAGAAGACTACGTATTATTTTTATAGATTAGTTAAATATGTCAACAGGAGATGGGTGCAATGTTTTCGCATCAATCATTTGACCTTTTAACATTAAACTACAACGATAGCTTTGCAATTGTTTATGTCTTTTTGTTGCTTAAATCCATTATGTTACTAGTTATGTCTCATTTTATGTATCTTATTTAGTTTGACACAATTATTATTAATAAAATAGTTGAAAAAGTAAAAGGTACGGTTGAAATTTGAATATAATAAAGTGAAATGTTATGGACGACATATTCATTTTCAAAAAAAGAAATGTGACACTTATTATGAAACAACCCAAAAAAGTAAGACGGGTAAAATGAGACAAAGTGAGTTTCGTTTATATGGCCAAAAGTAACCCATCGTTGTTACAAACTAAATTCTATATATCGAGTTCTATTACTC